AGACTCCTGCAATATGGTCGAGTTGGGTGGTGCTGGTGTACGTGTCATGTTCGATCATGGTCAGCTCCAGACTGCATTATTAATTGTCTTTAAGGTTATTTTCTTTTTCGAGTTCTTTGACTGGATTTTGGTGTTACATTGTTCTCGCACAATCGAACCAATAAAGCTGTGTAACTGGAGAATTGTATTGCGAACTTGATTGGAAAAGAGTAACCTATGGAGTTTCTTGCTCTTTCTTCTCCATAGGAATCTGCACCTTGGAATGGGCCAATAGATTCACTTTTAAATTTCTATTGCTGACGTTCAAAAGTGCCTTCCCGGTCTTTTTTTTTACGGCACATGCATATGTACCTAAACGAGCAGACGGATCACCTGATGGTAAGCAATCGGCGTCGCCTATGGACACCTGGAACACCAGAAGCATTACAAGTGCGTTACCGACCTTTTGGGGATTAGGAGTTTGAGGATTGTTGGGGATTCGGGGATTGGGGAGATTGGAGAAGGGGGCGGGAGCTGGGTCTCTGGTAACCTCACTCACACGACGAAACACAACGCAAACGTTGTTTCACGTCGGTTTTCTGTGAGGCCGTGGTATCACTTCGGTCGAGCCGGCCAATCGTGCCGAAGCATGGCTCTCCCACACTTGAAATGGTCTAATTGAAATAAATGATTTTGACTTTGATTTATCTAATATAGGGTGTATTGTGTAAGGCCACATGAAGGGGAAGTAGTCTTAATACTTTAGATACAAAATTTTACTCAAAGAAAACATTCCTTTATTTTTGAAAAGAAATAAAAACTACAATCAACGGTTTTTAAAAATTCGCTTGTCGCACACGGTAATCGAACCGACGAAAGTCTGTAGAAGTTGCACCCTGTACTTTTATTGCATCGATCGTCAGGGTCCATAATGATGATTTGGTTAATATGTAAAAATCAAATTCAGATTTCAGACCATAATCTACTTATGTAGTGAACGCTTACGCGTAGTACGCTTGAGATATAAAAGCATGTTCTTGTCTCTTGTACACAAATAGGCTTTGATGTATGTACCAAATGTAAACCAACGAAGTACGTATTGTAGCACTGACCAGTGGCGAGTGGAATCATGTCATCTGTATTGGCATGTCTAATGTCTACAGCCTACAGAATGTAATTATCGTGCTCTGTGAGCGGAACAATTGCACGCCACCTTTAAAGGTATTAAGAGAGTTAATGAAAGTGAATAAAGAAACGGAATAACAGATACCCCTATTATGAACATTACGCGTTTAAAAGGGCGCACGCGAATACACGGCGCTATAAAAACCGTAATGGAAGTAAAGCTTTGTTGTATCGTTTTTTCAATTACGAGGTCGGGTTGTGGGATGGGGCACGGATTAATTGCGAAAGGATACGGTAAACCGCCGCGCGCCGAGTGTCGATGAGTGACTCCCAGCCTCCGAACATTGTGTCACTCACTCGTCTCCCGCTTGTCGTTAAATCTCAAAGTGGAGCACTGTTAACGTTTGAAGTCGGTGATAGCTTTTTGACAGCGAAATATACTTGTAAGGGAGACATGTACGTAACTGTGTACAATATACGTACGTACATATTATTGTCTGCTACACAGAACAATCTGTTTTATGGAGCGCTGTTTCGACTTCAACTTCAAAATGTTTTGCTGTATCGAAATGTGACCGAGTTAAAAATATTTCTCAATATTTTTAGTTTTGCTCTAGGAGCTTGGTAAATATAAAGTACCTACTTACCCAACTGGCCTACCTACTATGTATGTGTTACATCATAATATTCATATCACGGTAATAATGTGAGAACTAGGTAAGCACGCTAGGCTTATATAGCTGACCTGAGTGTAGCCGAGGATGTCTTCTATCTATGTATACGTAGGTAAATATGCAAGTAAATACTTTACTTTTCCGACGTTTTCCTCGTAATATTTTAAACAATTATTAGGACAACAATAGCGACTTTATGCAATAGGACACAGTAATTAGTAGGCAGCCTCAAGTAACTTATAATTAACGAGCACCTAATTATAATGAGTGAATCACAACAAAAGCGCTTTCATTTTAATGCTCACAAAACAAATTATTTTCCGGTTCACGGGAGAAGTAACTCGCAGAATGGAACATTTTAATAGCGGCCGCCCGCGCCGCGCCGCCGCGTCGTGGCCGCCGCGGCGCGTCGAGCGGGACGCGGTTGCCGTTCACTTCACGTATCTTCAGACACTACATAGATACTACTCCCTACGTACCTGGTAGCTAGAGGGACGACGGAAATACTTACTGAATTATTTAAAGAATTAACCCTTCAAGTGTCTTGTGCATGCATGACATATATGTAGGTACCTAGTTAGCAGAAGATTTGCTTTCAACACTTCTCGACCGACAGTCAAGGATTTAAAAATAATAAAGACTTACTTAGGTATAAGTTATCTAGAAGTTTAGTAAGTTACGTCGGAGGCCCCATAACACCTTCCCAATCTCTCTAATCCCCAACAATCCTCAAATTCTTAATCCTCAAAAGGCCGGTAACGCACTTGTAACACCACAGGTGTTTTGGGTGCCCATGGGCGGCGCCGATTGCTTAGCAGTCATGGGATAACCGGCTTATCCCATCACCTGTGCATAACAAAGTACTTACTTACTAGGTACTTTTCTGGGCATCTGTACGTTGCAAAACTTTACCTAAGTACCTACTTATTTGACATCGGTATCTTTGGGTACTCACCTATACATATTTAACACGAAAACCAAGTAGAGCTAATGATGTAGCTGTAGCGCATCCACCAGTAGAGCTAATGATGTAGCTGTAGCGCATCCACTTTGGTAACCGGAAAATAACTTAATTTTCGGAAGTAAATAAATGAAATTCAAGGACTTCCCAAATCAAAGTTAATTTTCGCTTTTTGAAGTCGATTTATTTTTACGTGTACTTTATATTTAAGTGCCCTCCCCTACCGCCGCGCCGAGCCCTTCCGAGCGCCGTACACAATAACGTAGCTAATCAAAATGTGTAGATATACCCACCGCGCCGAGCCCTCCACTGATGTATATATACTTCAATTTCCTGCTGTTTTCATTAATGGCTGTAAGTAGATAGCTTAAACTCGAATCACAATAGGAGTTAGGAGTGTAGGTATTCGCTAAGTACTTAGGTACCTATTGTGCAAAACGCGAGTCAGTCTGGGGTATAAAGGTTGTTATTGTTAATGCTCGGTTTACAATATATCATCAAGTAAATAGGTCGGCAAGTGTGAACAGGGATCACATTGTATCTGTGTTGATGAAGTTAATAATGACGTCGTTGCTCAGGTGGTCGGTACACGTCTCCGGGCGCTCGAGGGAGCTCTCTGGATGTTCCTAGTTAACGACTTAATACTACACGAGGATGTTAGAGCGGATACTTGGAAACGATGGATGGAAGTAATCAAGTGAACATATTGTACTTGATACAATATGTTCAATATAAGATAGATGAATGCTGAAGATGCCAAACAGTTCCAGTTGTTTGTAATTAGTGAAATAGTGATATACAGGTAAACCTACATACTAGGCAAGATAGTATAAATATGTTATATTGTTGGACATTTCTTAGCTTAAGAGTGGGGTTAGGAATTTAGGATGACAGTTTCTATATAAGCGGCTAACGGGCTAAATACCGGCGCCTCGCCCCTATTCGGTCGCCATCTGTCGTGCGAGATAGACGTTAGGTCATAGTTTAGGTTTTGTCATTATTTATACCTACATAGCTATATCGCGAAGGTAGATTGTTATCATGTTGTGTTAATTTCGTTCAGATAAGAATTTGTCTCATTTATTTTCGATAATTGTTTAAATAATTCTAATTTTAGTCTTAAGGTAATAAATTGTACATTTAAAAAAATTCAACCCGCTTCTGATTTCCAATAATATAATAATTATGTAGAATGCGGGCCTTCGATTTTAGGTCGAGCCCCGAATAAGGCAATATCTCATTTTCCTATTTAAAATTCGTAATAATAGCTTTGGCTTGGAATTTTTCCCGGTGTTCGATAATAACAGGCTCACCCCCTACTTAATTACAATGATTCTGAAGGCGACGTAACAATTGGACAGGGTGGCAACTGGCAAGTGGCAAGATGGGAAAATGCATCGGATGTGCCAGGCTCTAAGACTCTCTTTTTACAGGATTGTTCAAATCGCAAAAAGTAGTGGAACAACACAAACGGAAGCCGCGGCATATTGTGATGTCTCTGCACGTCGCTAAATAATTAGCGTAAACAAAAGCATGGCGTTAGTACCCGCCTCACGTGCGGTACAGATTAGCGCTGGCCCACAGCTACCGCCGCCTTGGCCTATTTACTCTTTGTTCCGCCAAGTATCGTATTATTACGCTTAATTAGGAATGGAACTTGCCGGAAAAATGTTGTCCATTGTACAGTTTAAGTACCTACCGAAGAAAAACATTGCGATAACATTTACAAATAGGTCAGTACTACAACCGACGGATGCCACGCAGAAAGCGACACGAGCGTCCTCTGTCGATTAAAATAAACTTCCAGCCATATTACCAATCCGCTCTAAACTGTTAAGAGGACCAGTCGCGCCATCTATGATCGTTCTACGAGATACTAAATTAACGCCCTCTAACGGTAGTTCTGACTTTGATGTGTTTGAAAGGGACGTGTGACGTTGTCTTATACGGCGGCTAATTTGCTAACTCCCGACTGTATTACAAAGGGGGCGCTCATAGTTCATGTTTTCAGTAGTGTTGTCAGTACAATAGAGGTTTGATAGGCATGAAATTAAATCGTAATCTACCATGAATTGATGTTAATGAAATCGTTTTCAAATTAATAATTAATTCGTATGCGTCGTCGGACTGGTTGATAGTCTGCGCGCCAAGTTGATAGAGCTTGTCATTCGCCTGCAAAGTCCTCATGTTTCATGCCAATACTTTTTCGGTAGATAATTATGTTTTTGCAGGAAGACGAGGTTGTAATGAAACAGGTGAATAAGTTTCCTACATTTATTATATGTTACAACATACAAAACATATAGTAACAACAATATACGATCATTTATCATTACGCCGATACTAAATGGGGCAGCGCACAACTAATTTAATTTCTTTATCATCTTCGTATTCTGGACACAATCCAAGGACTAGATCAAAGGATAACAACAATAATGCAATATAAAATATGTTTATCTTGTTAAAAAAATATTGTTCAAGTATTTATATTAAAATAAATATTTTGCTTTGTATTGGAAGTCAGTAGTGAAATAATATAGCAATCTAGAGAAACAACTACATATAACATGTATTATGGCATGCGCACGCGCAAGTCGTGTCGGTTACAGTGGCAATGCGCTGCCTGGGGGTTCTCAGTTCCATAGAGCAGTCTGTGGCGAGTGGTGAAGCGACGGAGGAGGCTGCGGTAACAGGCCGGGCCCAGCACTCGGCCAGCTCCCGGCTCTATCATGCTGCTAATATACAAGTGAATGGACTGCACGGTCGATAAACCGGCTGCAGTGCAATATGTCGCGGGTGATCTTCGTGTTGTAAGAGTGTAGTAGATGCTCCACAGACAATTCCGTCGCATCAAGTATTTACTTACTGAACATAGTTTTATTATTGGCTGTCGACCTGCGAGGAGTGCGAGCTGCAGTCTATGTTCTAACTGAGTTTCAACTCCCGGGCGAACTTCAATAAAGTATAACATATTACGTTCACTATATTACTAAGTCAGCAGTAGAAGTAGTGTTTACAATCTATTACATATTTATGCTAAAATTCGAACACTCATTTATTCCTGAGTTCAATTCCTTGACAGTGTTTCGTTAGCATAGACTACATGTACTTATGACTAGGTGTCGTGGTATAGCGTCTGCTTTGTTCTTCGGAACAGTGTGGTGTATAACGTAGCCGGTGGCTATTTTGACTTATAAGTGCCATTTAGTGAATGTCAAAGGAATACTGTGGTGATAGTTACAGTTAGATAATTTTAGACGTGGCACACTTGTGTCGACTGGGATTACTAAGTAACTTGTTCGTACAAATGGTCACTTGTCAGTTGGCAGTGGTACTCTCAGCCTATGTTCGCTTGAACTAGAATAAATAGTTATTAGATAAAGATCCAAGTAGTGGTGGAACTGCGAGGGCAGTATGATGAGCAGAGCTCACGACTGTATATTTGAACGTTATGCTGAAATAGTTTGAGAATGGGTCAGCCTTGTTGTTGCCAGCAGCGCTGTGGCCGCCACTGCCGCAGTGGGCGGCGGCGCCCCGCGGTACATACCGCAGTGGGCGGCGGCGCCCCGCGGTACATACCGCGGTACATCTAATCGATTGTCAGGTGATCGCTTAGTATTTATATTCCGTTGCATGTCAGCTAAATGCGTACTTCCATATTGTTTGTACGCTGGGTACGGGCGCCGCCTCGACAGCCGCTCTTAGAATTAACGTTTAAACATTGAAATATACTCCTTACTCACTTATAAATAAAAGCTAGATACTTAGGAAATCTCTTTGGCGTGTGTTTAACAAATGCGTCGTGCTATAATACCCATGTACTAGCGGCTCGACACGACACTGTGTCTTGAGAACGGTGTCGGCTACGTCTGAGGGAACGATGGTAGTAATTTATTGTCAACTGTGACGTATACCTTGCTATTTAAACACAATATATGTATACAGGTTGTATGGCGCATGGACTGACACAATTTTTCAGGGATTTGTGAGGTCATTAACATTTTACCCATAAACCCTTTGTCCCAAACGTCACGGTTGGTGTGACCAACATTTAAGAAGTTTAACATTTTCAGATGTGGGAATGAAAAATTGCAACATTGGAAGCTTGTCAAATTTCTTGTTTTTTGTAGTCATTTAAATCAAACAAAGATGTATTTAGATATAATAGACGTTGGAGTACTTATACAAAATTCAATTTGGACCACTGGCCCACTAACAAAAAAGTTATTTTGAGTTAACGGAAATATTTTGGGTAAATTTTTTAAAATGAAAATTTTTGGTAAAATTTACCACATACATACATGACCAACAGTGACATATGGACCAAAGTCTTCCCCAATCCTTGAAAAAATGGTGTCGGTCCACGTGCCAAACACGCTGCATAAATGTATGCAGCGAGGGTTCGAGTGTCGTGGACGTCGAGCCGCCCCCGACTGACTTTGGTTCCAACGTTAAGGTACGCGCACACTGCACCGCGCCGCGGCCACCACAGCACTTCATGAGCTAGATGCTGCATGCCTTCTGCTCCATTGTCTGCTTACCAAGACAATACTTTGCATAGATGCATCCCAAGTGTGAGTAAAACATTAAAAGTAAAAATACGTGGCATGCATGAGCCGAGGCCCGACCCCGGTGCGCGTAACTTATGCCGGGAATACTGAAACGTTACTCAATTTTAAGTCGTGCTTAAATATCGTGCTATCTCTGTCGTTTTACAAAGAATTTGTGGAGACAGAACTATACGTAAGCGCGACTTAAAATTGAGTAGCGTTTGAGTATTCCGACTTTAGTCTAACAAAATAATACTAACGAGAACAAGAACAATTGCATCTCCACAATGTATTGGTCACAAAGTCTGCTTACACTATGGACACTTACCGAGCTAAAATAAATGCTACGCATGTGTACACAATATATATGTGAAATAAACAATTCATCTTATAACATATCTACGGTCACGTCTCGTAGACGTGACCGTAGTGTTTGTGCATTCGTATAGGCGCGTCGACACAGCGACACAGCGACACAGCGACACAGCGACACAGCGACACAGCGACACAGTGACACAGCGAGCCTCCCATTGAAGCATTCAAGTAATGTTGTATCCCGCAGCTGTAGTCGAAGGCCGACGTCTTCACTATTGCGTGATACACTCTAGTCGGTAGAAACCTTTAAAGCTTCGATTTCAAAATATTTGTGTTCGACATTATAGTTTCATATTCTCACGTCAATATAAAAATATGACTAAGCTACGTATTACATGTACTATGCGCTCTAACATCACTGTACAAGCCTTACTCGCGAATATATTGGTGCAATAACATATACCTCTTGTTTATCAACAAACAGCTTCGTGATTGCTTCCCACTCAGTTACCAATACAAGTAGCATTACTGGCGTACGGGCGCCGGCCTCGTACCGCCGTCGTACTCCGTATTGCAGTGGCGCGCGTCTCACAGCAGCGTACAGCGCAGCTTGCGGCGGCCGCGCGGCTTGGCCTCCTGCTGCGGGTGGTTGCGGATGATGCGCACCAACTGGAACACTCGGCAGTCACTACGCGGCATACCAGGGAGCGGACAAGCGGGTGGGATCACCTCGTGAAGGGCAGGGAAGGGAGTACAGGCGGGTGAGACACTCACCTCGTGGAAGGCGGCGTCGATGTTGAGCGGCGGTTCTTTGGCACTGGTCTCTATGTACGGCGCGCCCAGTTGCCGCGCCAGCTCGCGGCCTGCCTCCTCGCTGACGGCGCGCACGTGCACGAGGTCCACCTTGTTGGCGGCTAGCAACATGGGGTACGTGTCCCTGCAAAGCCACGTGTCACGGTACAAATGTCTGGGCCAGACTACAAGTCGTCGTCCCCCCCCCCGTTGCAAGGTCTCACCTGTCCTTGACCCGCAGTATCTGTGTGTGGAAGTGGCGAATGTTCTCGTAGCTCTGCTTGTCGGTGACGGAGTACACGAGCAGGAATCCGTCCCCCTTGCGCATGTATTGCTCCCGCATGGCACTAAACTCCTCCTGCCCCGCCGTGTCTAGTACTGAGTGCGATACAGAGCGGTACAATACAACAGTTCCTCACTAGAGTCCCGTGTCTCAGCCTGTAGAGTATCACTCACCATCGAGGATGCACCACTGGCCGTCCACCTCGGTGTGCTGTATGTACGAGTCCTCGATGGTGGGGTCGTAGTCCGTCACGAACAGCTTCTGAAAGAACTGGATCGTGATTGCGCTCTTCCCCACGCCGCCATCTCCCACCACCACCAGTTTGATCTGAAAATAGTGAACAGCATATTAATAAAGTATAATATTTACTAAATAATATTATATGTTGGCAGGGGTCAGTAGGGTCAGTTGGGTGAAGAGATGTGCAAAAGTAGAGAAAAGAGGTTATTACCGCATTGTTATTGTACTAATACATTGTTATACCAAGTGACAGGGTGGCAACGGGAAGCCAATGTAACTAAAAGTAAGATTTATTTTAGCATGACATTATTAAAATATTGCAATTTATTATACCAAGCATTTGAGATAAAGGCACTCCATTTATGACTATATAATCTGGTATGACGAGGGTGTTTGAGGCAACTCAAATAATTAAATGAAGAAATAGAGAGTGGATGAATACTCAGGCTATAGGTAACTATAGTATATTATAAATGTAAAGCAGTACACTAACACTGTCACTGTTTTTGAACAACGACATACTTGGTATGCATCTAGCGGCCACACTGCAAACAAAGTCACATCAAACTTAACTACATAACATAACTACAAACATATTTGTATACTATATATATATATATATATGTAACACCCGGCACTTTGAAGTCCACATTAAGGTGTCGCACTCAATTGATCTCAATTGGCTTCTATTGAATTTGATGGAGGTCCAACTTCACTTAAAATGTTTTACAACTGCCATGTTAATATTACAAACGTAACCAGCAAAATAGTCACCATACTTACAACATTTGCTCAAAAAATGAAAACAAATAAAATAATCATGTACTTGTGTACATAGACACCCACACATCAAAGGTTGGCAATCTATTCAGAACAAATGTTGACAACATAAACTTTCAAACATACAGCTTTATGGGAATTGGTAGACACAAGTGGACATTCCATAATGCTGTACTAAGTAATATGCAGCTGTAGACAAATGCCACATAGCGCTTGTTTACATGAAGAATAGAAAACCAAATTTTATGAGATCGACGTAAATTTTGACACTTGTCAGTGTCATCCTCGTACATTTCGTTTTCTACAATTTCTACTCTCTCTGCTAAAGTGGTGTTTAGCTAAAGACAATGATATGGTATCAAATGAGCTGCTTGTAAGTCAATGTTGCGTTACTTTTTCTTTACATTTGCCAGACACAAATAGCAGGTTGAGTGCATTCTGTTTTAAAATGGCACAAACTTATAAAACAAACACACTACCCACACAAGTCACACAAACATTTCATAATGTAGGTACTTCACTGTACATAATATATATCAACAAGTACTCCTGTACAATAGCTACAATCTCTCAATACTATTTTAGTATCATAATTATTGACAGGTATACTGGGTTCATGGAAGTTGGCCTATGTTGAGCCTGACATCTGACAATTACACCAGAATGTACCTGTCGACTGTTGCAAGCTCTGGCAGAAAGCTTACTGTTTGTCCACTATTGACTTGCCATAAATATTGAATGATTCAACACAATAAACATTATATTACTTAAAGCAACGGTACCAGCCCGGACAAATGGCCACTGACTGCTCATTGTACTCTACCATATTAGTATTAGCTACCAAATTGTTATGTTAATGAATGTGACAAGTTGTTAGACATTACAACAGGTTGGGAACAATGTCAATCGTTCAGAATATTAGCCGTAGCACTTGGTAGGTAGTAGACTCCAATATTGTTTTATAGACACTACAGATTAACTAGATGTTTACAATCAATATGAGTTGTTCAGATTCATATGATAACCAAGGCTTATCTGCCTAAAATGATAAGAAAGATAGAACAGGGAAGTAATAAATATAGAGGTAACAAGTATATTGCTACTCCAGTGTCCACTTTCCTGTTTGAATCATAATGAAAACAACAACAACATTGCACAACATTACCCAAGTAAGAAATTAGTTTCCTGTAAGGAAACATAACTGAACAATCTAATTTAAGAACTCACTTGCAACTTGCCTAAAATGTTACATGTACCAGAGTGTCGTTTTTTTAAATAAACTTGGATAATATATTTTTTTAATTCTATCAACTTTACTTATATTATAAGTAAATAAAAATTAAGTTATATGTAGATTTTTTATTTATAGCTCTACTGTTATTGTCGTGCACATTTATTGTAAAAAAAAGATTGAATTAATATGATAATAGTGTAGCTAATATTACGACTTACCGTAGGCAGGTTCTCATTGGGAGGTCCCGGGCGCGTCATGTTGTCCCTGCACTGCTGCGCCCCGCCACCTTCTTATGACCGCGGGTTCCACGCACATGGAATATTATCTGCGGAATTACCACCGGAGCCCATCAACAGTGTTAGCATGAAACATTATTTGCATGTTGGCAGTGGCATTCAGTCATCCCACGCCCGTCAACCGAATTGCAGACAGCTGATGGTCGATAAACAAGTAAAATTACTTACCTCATTGTTTTAAAATTTTTGGTGTTGTTATCAGATACTGGACGGAATTTTCTCCGTTAGGTTAACGATAGAGCTTAATATAAACATGTAATAACTACTTAATTTCTTCGCTAAAGAAATTAACTGTATCACAGACTTACTATAATATGGACCAGAAGTAATGATCTATAGCTTATTTGCTTATACAAATATATATCAAATCGATATAGAAATATGAAACCACACTTTGTCTCTTTTTAATCAATGAGTTTCCTCATTTGAAGAAAGAGACGTCACGTTGTTTGTTTATTCTCTGCCTGGCAACATTTCTACATTTCTGACAAGGTACCTACCTCGCGTGCCAGCCGCCATCTTTAGGCCGCATAGTTTTGTAGTACATCAGGTGTCAAGCGAACAACAACATTAGATTTGGATTGCGATTTTTAACAATAAAAACGCTCCCAACTTATTTGTTTTGTGCTGTGAGTGTCTAGTGGTGCATATTTAATATGTCTACTTGTTCAATAATTCAGTGTGGGGCAAGGAAAAACCCCAATCAACCTCATTTGACTATGCACAGGTTAGTAGCCGTATTTTAAGAAAAAACTTTATCATACTATTAGTTTTCTTGTTTATCTAGCCTTATTTTATATATAGAATAAAAGCCCCCAAATGTACATTAAATTTGTTTATGATAACTAACTTCATTTGCTAAATTTGTTTAAGTTTTGTTTACAATACAAATGACGATTTACAAATAGTGATGTATTTTATTTAATAACATATCGATAAGAAACTAACATATTTTTAGTTTGTATGTTATGGAGTCCAGTAGAGTAGAGTATCAAAATAAAGGGTCTGAAGAGACCATTTTGAAAATAAATCTTACAGAATAGAAATAAAAAAAGGGATAGTACAATAACATAATAATATCAATTCTTCATACAGTAGGTACTTTCATTTAGTTCAGTCTATGATTTGTACCACTAAATGTACAAAACTGAAATAATTTTTATGTTTTTTTTTATTTCCACAAATTCCCTAAAATGAAGTGCTGCGTCAGAAGTGGCTTTAAGTCCTTCGATGATTTGTACCTTTAAAAAAAATCCAAAGTACCAGAAGATTTTTAATGTATAAAACTCTGCTATCGATATCGATACTTTTTTGGTTTTGACTACAGTACTTCCCTAGCAATGGCAGCCATTTTTAGGCCTCGGTTTCTAGTAGGTATGCACGCGTATTTTGTAGGTATTTCTGGTCCATATTATAGTAGGTCTGTGAACTGTATCAACTAAAGTGTAACGAAAATTGCGTTCGGAGTGACGTTTAAAGTGATGTGATGTGACAGATTGAAAACGTCGTGCGACAGAGATACAATCGATAATGATTGAAAATCATGCAACTGGTGAGTTATTTTTCTTTTCACGTGGGTATTTATACTTTTAATGAGCAAAATATTGAAATATAATATAATAAAATAAACACAATTTAAACATTAGTTTGTATTGTTTTATTAGATATACCCTAACACAGACATAAACAGCCTACTGTTATTGAACGAACGAACTAATGTCAAATATTCTGTTAGCCAACATTCCGAAAATTAAGATGCGTTCAATTTTAATTGAACCTATAGTTCAACTCTACACTCTCGTATATATTTTTATACGGTTTAAATAAGTATTTGTTGGTTTGGATAAAAAATGTAGATTCTTACAACTCACTTACAAAACTGTAAACTATACAAGGTTGAAATAATTGTTTTTGTTTTTGAAATTTTAATCGTTTTCGTGTCAGATGATTGCAACTAGTATTACATAAAAGAAACATTTAATTCCTTGTAAGAAAATAAAACTTGTTGTCGAAGCGCCTACTGCTTTATAAAGGCAATTACACTCAACTGGCTAATGACGCGAACAAGCGCACGTTAGGCGTATTTGTAGTTAATTTTATTGTATTCTGTAACCTCTCATCAATCTGTTTTTTGTCATTGTTCTGATTACACGTAATTAATTCTACTCGACTGCTTTAAATTATTTTACCACCTTGGAGTTTTCTACATGGTCCTTCGAGCCGATTGATAATATTTTCATGAAAATCAGCGATAATTTGAAGAAATCACATAAATTAAAATATCAAGACGGGTTATAACAACGTGGTCAAGTTCGAAAGGTGCTTTGAAAAGTGGCTTAGACATTAAAAACACATGTTATAAGTTGTATTTAACCCAACACTCTAAAGGTAGTATTTATAATAATAATTTAAATCATTAAAAGGTTAGTACTTGCACAAATTTATTATGTTACGTACTCAAAATCTTCTGTGTCATTGAGCGAATAAAGGTTAACTTTAATAATTTTTATGATCAGTTCAGTTTAGAACTGAGTTCATTATTATTAATCGTTTGCTTATGTGTTTAAAGTAACGTTTAAATTATTTAATTTAAGTATAGCCGTAATTGCTCATTTTATATTTCGACAAGTAGATTGAAGTAAGTAAGTAGGTAATAGTTACAATTATAGTAACATTGTGTTAAGTCATTGTTATAAAAACCTTATTGCAGTTACGAGTATAATAAAAATAATTGTGATTTAGTTTAATATTTTCCAAGCTGACACGCTCAATTTATAGGTAAACTTTAATGATAAACTTATTCAGTATTTGATCCTATTGTTATAAATTCCAGGATTTATCAATCGTCTCCCACGATGTCCACAAAAAGTGACAAGGCTGATATGGAAGTAGCACGGGAAGTAGCTCGGGAAATAGCGGAACTTACTAAGAAACGCAGTAGCTACAAGGGTCGCATAACTATCTTTTCTGGTTTTCTAAAGTCACTAGATATTTCATCGATAACATCAAAGGACATTAGCGAAATTGAAATGCGTATAGGTAAGCTCGAATCATTGTATGCTAGTTATGACGAGACGCAAACGAGGCTCGAATGTATCGCAGACTGTGAAACCCAGTTGTTAGAGAGGGATGAATTCGAGTCTCGTTACTATAAAATCCTCTGTCAGGCACAGGAAATAATAGCCACTCATAAAAAATCTCCCGTTCCTAGTGAATGTTGCTCTCATAATGGTAGCAATAGTAATAATAAACCCGTCAAATTACCTACCATACAGCTGCCTAAGTTCGATGGATCGTATGAAAATTGGCTCGAGTTTCGTGATACTTTTGATAGCCTAATACACTCAAATCAAAGTATAGATATTATCAACAAATATCATTACCTGAGAGCGTCTTTGGAAGGTTCCGCTGCTGTGGTAATAAAATCCATTCAGTTCTGTGCGACAAACTATGATACAGCTTGGCAATTGTTGTGTGACCGCTACGATAATAAACGTTTACTTATTCACAATCACATTTCGGCGTTGTTTAACATTGAGCCAGTAACACGAGAATCGTCAAGTCCATTAAAACGCTTAATGGATCAATTTAATAAGAATTTCCGTGCATTGGAATCCTTAGGAGAGCCTGTGAAGCACTGGGATACACTTCTCATTTACATCATGTCACACAAATTAGACACTAAAACACTACGTGAATGGGAAGAGTACAAAGGCCAGATCACCAAGGATCACACTATTTCGCTTCAACATTTTATTGATTTCATGAAGATTCGCACTGATTTAATTGAGTCTATAGAATGTCATACATCACAGAACACCACACATCGTAACACAAACTCAAAATCGTCCAAACATAAAACTATGGTTTCATTAGACAACAGTTCTAATAACAATGCAGCCAGCTTGAGTTCAGGGAAATGTCCTAAATGCAGCGAAGATCACAAACTAAATAACTGTCCGCAGTTTTTAGCGTTAAGCAATGAAGCACGACTTCAATTGTTACCAGGTTTTAAAGTTTGTTTTAATTGTTTTTGCGGTGGACACTACGCTAATCATTGTAAGAAGCCCGGTTGCAAATTATGCAAGCGACGTCATAACACTCTCATTCACGTTGCAGATACTACCAAGACAAAACCAGTTATGCCTCGCGGACGAACTGATAACATTGTTAGCAGCACCCCGCCCGCCACTTCTACCGATGTGAATCCTAGCTTGACACTGTCGGCGAGCGTCGCGGCCTCCAGTCACCAAGTGCACGGTCATCGCGTTGACGTTCTGTTATCGACGGTACTAATTAAGCTATATGATTCCAATAATCGCGAGCATTTAGCGCGCGCAATTCTCGATAGTGGTAGCACTTCTTGTCTTATGACGAATAAAATGTATCGTCAATTGAATCTGCCCTTTACACCCATAAATAAATCAATTATGGGGATTAACAGTGTTGCGTCTCAAATAAATAAAATGTGTTTAGTATCTTTAAAATCGTTAGATGAAACCTTTGTAACTAATCTAAGATGTTTTGTGTTACCGTCGATAACAAACAACGTACCGTGTCATTCGCTCGACATAAGTACACTTAATATACCTAGTAACGTCTGTTTAGCCGATCCTAACTTTCACACGCCTGCGTCAGTTGATTTGATAATAGGCGCTGATGTTTTCTGGGATGTTCTGGGATCACAAAGGTTAGATTTAGGCGCCGGTAAACCTACACTTTACGAAACTAGGTTAGGGTGGATAGTTTCTGGCCCTTTAGTAAATAGTAAGGCCACTTTACCCAATCCTGTTTGTAATTTTGTGCAGCTTGATGCGGCTGCCGGTAATAGCTTTCATGAACAAATTCAGCATCAGCTTGAGCATTTTGGAGTTTAGAGGATGTAACTGAATGTTCCGCTACCTCACCCGAATACAAATTGTGTGAGGATCATTTTATGACAAACACTACGCGTTTGCCAGATGGACGCTTTTGTGTAAAAATTCCGTTAAAGAATAAACCGTCCGTGTTAGGCAATTCATTGCATCGTGCTAAGCAATGTTTTTATTCTTTAGAGCGTAGGTTGTCAAACCAGGCGAACATTTATAAAATGTACTCCGAATTTATGTCAGAATACATAACGTTAGGTCACATGACAGAATGTAAACTGACTACGGATGCACACTACATTCCTCATCATGGCGTTATTCGGGACAGCAGCACGACCACTAAACTGAGGGCCGTGTTCAATGCGAGTAGCCCAACCTCTAACGGTGTAACCTTAAATAGCATCCAAATGGTTGGCCCCACGGTTCAGGATGACCTTTTGTCCATCCTTCTGCGATTCCGACAGCATAAATATATTTTAATGGCTGATGTCGAAAAAATGTATCGGCAGATAGCGGTACATCCTGATGACAGGGATTTGCAAAGGATAGTTTGGCGCTGTAATCCTAAAGATGCACTAAAGGCATTTCAGCTAAACACGGTAACCTATGGGACCGCAAGCGCTCCCTTTCTTGCTACTAGATGCCTTAAGCAGCTAGGGATTGAGTGTGACGACAAAAGGATCTCCGAAATCATTACACATGATTTTTATGTTGATGATCTCTTAAGTGGAGGGGATGATCTTACTGACGTTAAAAACATGCGTGACAAACTTACGTCAGTTCTCGCCTCAGCTTGCTTTCCACTTAGAAAGTGGCAGTCTAATGAACCTCAATTAGTCTCTGAGCTGGCTCAGTCTTCCCGAAACCTAAACATAGGTGGAAATGAGCCCAGCAAGACCTTAGGTTTGGGATGGCAAGCTGTTGCTGATGAGCTGTGTTTTCCCACGGATCACTCGTTCGCCATGACAGAGTTAGTGTGTACGAAACGTAGTATGCTTTCCATAATTTCACAAATATTCGACCCTTTAGGTCTTGTTTCTCCTGTTGTAATTAATCTAAAAATGCTCTTACAGAAATTATGGTTGCATAAACTGTCTTGGGATGAGCCGTTGACGCCGGATATAGAAGATATTTGGTCTGACGTAATTAAAGGGTTGCATCACCTCAATAATATTCGCATTCCACGTCGAGTAATAATCGACTCATTCAAACGTCTCGAGTTTCACATTTTTTCTGATGCGTCTGAAAGAGCATACGGTGCATGTCTGTATGTTCGTAGCATTAATGAATCTGGCAAAATTCTCGTCAGATTATTAGTTTCTAAGAGTCGAGTAGCACCCATTAAGGCTACTACGATTCCCAGACTTGAGCTCTGTGGAGCTTTAGTAGGTGCACGTCTTTATAATAAGGTAGTGAAGTCATTACGAGTTAAGGCGGCATGTACTGTGTTCTGGACTGATTCAACCATTTTATTGGGTTGGTTGAAAATGTTGCCTTGTAAATTGCACACCTTTGTCCGTAATCGCATTGGTGAGATATTAGAGTTGACCGGCGATTGTGTGTGGCGACACGTTCCCACTCAATGTAACCCAGCGGATTACATTTCGCGTGGTGTTAGTGTTGAGTCTATTCAGGCATTGGACATTTGGTGGTCAGGGCCTAGTTTTTTAAAGGAGCCTGAAGT